GCCTACCTCTTCTAGCATACTGGCCCACACGTGCTCTTGTCTCTTCCGTCCTACAGCCTCTTCTTACCCTCACTGCCTATCTCTATCTCGGCCATTCACCCATCCCCCATCAACCTCCACCCATCCTCATCCATCCCTCCGTTCATCTGTTCATCCATCTATCCTCCCATCCACCCATCCTCATCCATCCATCTGTTCATCCACCCATCTGTCCATCATCACATCCATCCATCCATGCATCCTCCCATCCATCCTTCCATCCGTCCATCTGTCCACCCATCCCATCCATCCATTATCCATCCATCCTCATCCATCCGTCCGTCCATCCTCCCATGCATCTATCCCTCCATCCATCTGTCCATCCTCCCATCCATCCTCCATTCACCCATGGAACTTGTAGGTCGTGTGTGAGTCAGGGGCTGGGTTGATTTGCAGTGAACAAAAGCAACAAGGTCCGTGCTGTCTTGCGACTTATGCTCTAGTTCAAGGAAAACAGGGTATAAACAGGTAAATTAAAAAAACAGAGCAGAGAGACAAAAGGTGGAGGGTCTTGTTTGGGTTGATTCAGAGGGACTTCTTGGAGGAGGCGATGTACACTGGCCCTAAGGGAGGAGCCAGCGTGATGGGCCTGGGACTGGAAGGAAGCTCTGTAGGCCTGCGCTGAGTGAACAAGAGCGGAGGATGGGAGAGGAGGCAGCCCAGGGCCAGGCCAGACCGAGCAGGGCCCTGCCGGGGCACAGACGTCTCCTGGGTGGGGAGGATCATGCCAGGGGAGTGCGGGCACAAGGCAGTAGGGCTGCGTTTCGGGAGATGGCATTGTTAGTTGGAGGATAGATCCCAGGGGCCCAGGGTGGAGCAGAGACACCACCCTGGGGACCCACACGCCCAGGGGCCCCTGCCCGAACGATGTCCACACCTGGGCAGCTCAGCACAGCAGAAAAAGGCGCTGAGTTCGGCTGTGGTCCCCTGTCCCGGACTCTGGTCTCGGCTGTGTTACCTGGAGTCGGCCACTGTGCCTTTCTGAGCCTGTGTGTTTATCTACAAAGCAGGGAGGAGAGCCACTGCCCAGCCTTCTTCCCTGGGGAGCACACGAAGGGCCCGAACTCCATAGACCCTGGGAGCTGGGAGGACCCAGGGCCTGGGGCCACTTTTGGACACAAGTTTCGCCTGCAGCTGCGAAGGGGTTGACACCCTCGCTGGGCTCTGAGCTCCCAGTCCTCTGGGGCCTGGGCTCCTGGCTTGCTGGTCGGATGCCCAGGGGCTGCCCACACCCCTCCCCCACTCTCTGTCCCTCCATCTCTCTCTCTCTCTTTTTTTTTTTTGCATCTTCTTTTTAAAATAAAAACGCCGGCCGCTCGCGGCCCGCTGATGTGTATGCCTCAGTAATACATTATGTATTATTTTGTTTTAAGCACAGCTTTTGCATCCTGACAGTAACAATAAAATGTGACTATGGGATTGCTAATACAGACAGACTAATGTTTCCATCGCCCGCCTCTTTTTTTTGCGTCCTAAGCACTTTTGAAAAGGCTCCTTTTATATTCCTAATAAAATTATAGCAAAATACATCGATTTACTGGAAAAGAGTGGAGGGTCGGGGTTGGGTTCTTCTCCTGTGCGGGCTGTTGCTTTCTTCCCCCCGAAGGCTGATGAATATTCCAAAGCGGACCTCTAAGTACTGTTTGACCCCGACCCCGCAGAGCATCTGCGTCCACCTGCTGTCAGGGAGCTGCACCTGCCGCCGTGGGGGGGATGGGCTGAGAACTTGGGTGTTAGGAGCAGGGGGTGTATCCGTGCTGGGGTGTCTGCACGTAGGTCAGATGTCCACATGTGTGTTGGATGTGTCTGCCCGTATGTCGGGATGTCCACATGTATACTGGGTGTCCCTGTGCATGTCGGGGTGTCTGTGTGTAAACTGGGGTATCTGCATGTATGTCAGGGTGTCCACGTGTATTTTGGATGGGTCTGCGTGTATTAGGGTGGATCTGTGGATAAGTTGGAGTTTTTTTTAAAGATTTATTTTTATTTATTTGAAAGGCAAAGGTACAGAGAGGCAGAGAGAGAGAGAGAGAGAGAAAGAGAGAGAGAGAGAGGTCTTCCATCTGCTGGTTCACTCTCCAAATGGCTGCAACGGCCTGAGCTGCGCCAATCTGAAGCCAGGATCTTCTTCTGGTCTCCCACGTGGGTGCAGGGGCCCAAGGGCTTGGGTCATCTTCTACTGCTTTCCCAGGCCATGGCAGACAGCTGGATCAGAAGTGGAGCATCTGGGACTCGAACCAGTGTCCACATGGGATGCCGGCACTGCAGGCGGTGGCCCCATGGGGTATTGACATAGGTGTTGGGGTTTCGTGTGGAGATTGGGTGTGCTGGTGTGTGAGTTGGGGTTGCTATGTATGTCAGGTATTGGATGTTGGGGTGTCTGTGTGTTGAGTATGTGGGACTGTATGGAACAGGAAGGTGGGGTGCTTGTGGGTTTAAGGACGTGCCCATGAGCCCATCTGAGCACACGGAGGCCATTGCCGGGCAGGGGGAGGTTGTAGTGCAGGGCAAGGTGGCCTCAGCCTCGTCCACCTGAGTCAGGGTCGTCCCTACGGGGGGTGGCCTCATCGCGAGCTACCTCCACATGGCAAAGGGGGTGTAGGCTGGCTGACCACCGTCCCTGTTCCTGTTGGCTCTGTGCATCCCTGTGGGCATCTGTCTCTGTGGGGCTCCATGGGACCCGGGGGTTATGGACAGGGCCCGGCTAGCAGGCTCCTTGCACGTGGAAGCCACCGTGGGCTGATGTGACAGTGCTGGCTGCCTCGCCAGCCCACAGACCCCGCATCTCGGGGCCAGGGGTGGGGGGCACCTCTCTGTCTGCAGGCAGCCTCCTGGGCAGAGGGTAGTGAGGGGCCCGCGCCAGGGCCGGAGCAGGAGGAGGCCACCTCAGCTTTCTGTCCGAGATGACCCCAGGGTCTGTCTGATGGCAGACCCCAGGGTCTGGGCACCAGGGCTCTCAGTCCAGCTCATTGGCTCTGTAGGTTTCCTGGGGCCCGTCTGCCTCCCCAGGTTTCACTGGGTGCTCAGAATCCAAAGTGGGGGAAATCAATGTGCCCTTAGTCTCCCCCACCCCACAGTGCTCCCCCCATCCCCACGGGAGGGGCTGCTTCTGGGGCTTGGCGCACAGCGGGGGATCCGGCCCCTGCACCCCAGCCTCGCGCGGCTGCTGAGTGCCTGGCAGCCCCGCCTGCCACTGCCGCTGAGCCCGGCTCCCGCCCCACCCTCCCTCCCTCCCTCCCTCTCCGAGTGTATGTGGATTTGCACGATTCAGAAGCAGGGAGAGGAAAAAAAAAAAAAAAAAGAATTGGGTTTTGTATACCCAGCACTTTTGAGGGCAATCTGGGCCCCTAATCCGGGGTTTATAACCTCCCAGCTAATGCTCCCTGACATCGTGTTTTGATATCATTACTACATTATACTCACAATTTTTGAGTGAAAAAATACAGTACTTAGAAAGTCGAAATTCATAAATAAATTCATGTCAAACCGCACTTAATATTGATTTTGTTAGTGTTCAGATTCAATAATAAGGTACTGCATGCATGAATATTTAAATATAATCATCATTTCTGCATCTCCTAATGGCCTCTGCTCCTCTACACTCAATTTAAACACAATTTAAAAACTATAATGTATTGAAAAATACGAGGATTTAGCAATAAATCATCATCGGGAGATTCCAGGCCTCTTATAGGGTGGCTCAATATGGCTTTCCCGGGGGACTGTACAATTAGATTCATGTTTTTAAACTTCTCAATTATCCATATACCATAATTTTATGTGAAAGTTTGTTTCGCTCCCCCGCCCCCCGCCCCCCAGCCTCTCTCGGTAGGAAGCGGCGGAATATTCGCTTAAGTGTTCTCTTAGCCGGAGTGGAGTGGGGTTAAAGGTGGCCGTCCAGAAACTGAATTAGAGGCCAGGCCTGCCAGAGGCAGCCGGCGCTGAGTCACTTAATCACATTATTTGGGAAAAATATAGGGGGGAAAGAGATAAAATGACTTAAAATGAACTTGCCAAGGAGGAAGTGGAGTTTTTTAGATTTATTTAAAAAGCCATCCTGGGCCTGATGAAATAGACGCAGGGCTGCGGCAGGATGTGGGCCCGGGCAGGGCGGGCGGGGGAGCGTTCCGGGAGCCCCGGCGGCTTCCAGCCCGGTCCCAGGGCCCCGGCCCTGCCTGAGGAGCCCCCGGGGGGTGCGGGCAGCCCTGGGGGAGGGCGAGGGGGTGCCCTGGGGACCTGGGGGGTTGCTGGAGACCCCGTATCTGGCCTGGAGGCCAGCTGGAGCCACTGTCGGCAGAGTGGACCGTGGCAGGGCCCCTGGGGCACCTGGTGGTGGTGGTGGGTAGCAACTGGTGCCGACAGATGGCAGGAGATGTGGCACAGGGGCATGGCTCGGTGACAGGAGCGGATGGGAGCCCGGGGACCCGGAGGGCGGGTGCCTGCTGGCTGGGAGCACCGAAGGGCACGCCCCGTGCACACAACATGAAGTACCTGCTGATGCCTGGTGCTTTACCCCCAGCTCATCAGAGCCTCCTAGGGCCTGCCGTGCCCATTTTATAGACAGGAAAACTGATGCCCAGTGTGGGGGAGCACTTGGTCCAGGGCCACACGGTAATTTGAACCCAGCTCGGTCCAGAGCCAAGCTTCTTGTCCAGCTCCAGGCTCCGCTTGGGAGGTGCTGTTGAGGGTGGGGACAAGGCGGGCCCCGAGCCTAGGGCCCCACATGCTCTCAAGCGTGGCCCAGCTGCTCCTCTCCCCAACAGCCAGGACCAACATCTGCCCGTTTAGGCGAGCGCCAGGGACGAAGCCCATTTGCGTCCTGGAAACTTGTCTGGGCCCTGGACGCTGGGGACCGGGATCGGGGCCTCGCTCATTCAATTGGATGCAGAGCCGGGGATCTGGCTTGCTGCCAAGGAAGCCCCAGTGCAGGGCAGACAGCGCCCATGGGGCCACCCTGGAACAGATGGGCGGGCAGCTGGCACGAGTGGACACCTGGCCTTCTGGGCGGGGCTTCCATCGCACACAGATGCAGGAACAGGACTGGGAGGGGAGGGCTCCAAGGGGGGTGGCACTCGGGCTGCCTGGCGAGGCCAGAAAGGTGGGGTGGCAGGAGTAGCCATCGGCGGGGACGAGGCCAGGCCACGGTGGGCTCCAGGCGCTTGTTTTGCTTCTGTCTGGGAAGGAGGACACAGCAGCTGCCTCGGGCAGTCGTCATGGAGATAACAGGACGCCCCCTTCGCACCAACCTAGGGGCCACACTCAGGTATCGTCCCGCTCCTCTGGTGGGTTTGGGGCTGTGGGGTGGGGGGCCGTGGGCTCTCCCCATGAGAGGTTCTGCACAGAGACCCCCATCCAACTGTCCCACCCGTTCCCAGCCCCAGACACTCGGGCGGCCCTGAGGTCAGCAGGGGGCGTGGCAGGAGCCCGTGCCCGCCTCCCACACCCCCGCCAGCGGCCCACAGCCTCCACCCTCCTGCAGGGGCTGCTAGCTTATCATTTATTCATCCATTCACTCATTCACGCACTCCCGCTCATTCAGCAGAGACCTGCTCCGTGCCAGGTGCTGTTCTGGGCACGGACACAGCCAAGGACACGGCCCGCAGCCCGTTTCCCATCTGCGCCGAGGGGCAGGGCACGGCCTAGTCACCGGCTTTGTCTGTCCCGAGGTGAGCTGTTGTTTATTCCTGGTGAAGGGACCTCCCAAGACACTTGGGCATGGAATTATTTGTCTCTGTCTGAGGCTCTGCCAGGCTGTGGCTCCCAGTTGGTAAGGGCGGGAGCGGGGATGAAACAGAATAAAATTTGGTAAATGTGGGGAAAGTGGGAGCCACCGTGAGCTCCTGAGCCAGAGCAGGGCACCAGGGAGGCCTAGGCAGTTGTCTCTGTCCCCGAAGGCCCCCTGGAACGCTGGCCCTTTGAGAAGCTGAGGAGTGGGGACCCGAGGAAGGGACTCCCAGCCGAGACCCCCAGCTGACTTCTGTACCCCGGGTTACCTACCGCTGAGCCGGCTGTGGGCCCAGGTCGGGTGGAATGGGAGAGAACCACTCCCTCTGCCGCCACCAAGCCAGCTCTGGGACCCCTGCTCTGGCCAGGGAGGAGAGGGCAAAGCCTGAGTGAGGTGGGGGCAGAGATGGCCGGGGGTGGGGGGCGACCACAGACAGCTCCTCCCACCTTCCTCGGCCTCCCAGACCCCCTCTCTCAGGGCCCTCTCTGCACCTGGGCCCCTGGGCCGCTCTGATTCTCCTGCAGGCCACAGTTTCATCGGCCTTCGCTCTGCCCGCAAGCCTCAGTTTGCTCATCTGTCAAGTGGAGCTGCTGGCGAAGGATTTCAGGGGCCGAGGACTGGGAAAGCCTTGGCGAGTGTTGGAGGACGGCAGGAACTCTTTCCACGTGGGAGGCCTGAGCGCCGTCGAGAGGGGCCGAGCTCCCAGGCCACTGTCAGGCTCCTGAGGACACTGGCATGGCCAGGTCCTCAGGCCGTGGGGATGGGGGCGGAGGGGGGCCGGGTGCCTCCTGTGGCCTTGTCACTGCACATCCAGGGCCTGTTTTTTTCTGGAAAACAAGCGACATTCATCACGAGTGACAGCGGGGCCCTAATGCAATCTCCCTGGAGCCATGAATTGCAAATGCGCAGGGAGGCGGCTCCTCCATTAGGGCCCCAGAGGTCACGTGCCCCGGCTCCCGGGGCGGGTGCTGCTCAGAAGTGGGGACACCTGCCAAGCAGGTGGGTCCAGGGCTCCTTAGAGTCACCTGGGCTGGGCCCCAGCCGCCTGCCCGGTCCTTGGGGCCCGGGAGTGAAGAGAAGGCTCCAGAGTGGGAGGAAGCGGGGGCTGATGCTGGTGACTCAACTTGCCCTTGTCCCACTGCGAGATTCACAGGCAGTTCCCCAGGGGCAAGCCGGGTGAGCAGGCGGGGCAGGCAGGTCCCCGTCTGACACGTCACCTGCCTGGCCATCAGGAGGGCCCGCCCCAGGGGGCCGGAGGCACACATGTGACCGGGCGGTGCCAAGGACCCCGAGGGTGAGGCCTGGGCTGTGCCCGTTGGCCTCCTCCCAGCCGCCCACACACAGGAGCCCACGCCCATCATCCCCCCTTTCCCCCCCCACATCCTGGGCACCTGCAGCTTGGACCCTGCACTGCTGTTCTCTGCTCCTGGGCCTGGGCCTGGGCCTCACGTGCGGGCCCAGCTCCCTGCCAGCCGGGCACTGAGTCAGGGCGCGCCTGCCTGCCTGCCTCTGGCACCCGGTGTAGACGGGTGGGTTTGTTTTTCCCTGTGTGTTTTGGGTTCAGGGAAAAAAAAAAATCTCTAACCAAGCACTGGCCCTGGGGCGTTTTCCCCTTCATTTTTCTGCCCAGGTGTCTCTGAAGGGAACTTCATTGTTTGTTTCAAATTCATTTGCACTTAACTCATCTGGAAGTTTTGCAAGAGTTGTTTGATGTCCAAGGAGCCTGCAAGTGAGCGGCCCCTCCGCCTCTCCCCATCCCATAATGAGCCCTTTAACCCTTGGAGACCCACAGCTGCCTTTTGGGCCCGAGTCAAAGAGTGGGGGCCCCTTCCCATCCTGCACAAAGAAGCAAGCGTGCAGGGGCTCGGGGGCCTCTGTCCAGCTTGTCCCCTCCTCTGGGCCACACACACTTTGGGCATCGCTCAGCACCTCCTGCCCAGGGGCCCCACTAATTAATGGGTGCCTGCGAGGGCTGACCCAATCAGCCCCCAAATTAATCTCAATTACAGTGGTTTGGTAACTGCAGTGCTAGCCAGCCCAACCGAGGTGGGGTTTCATCACCCAGGAATGGGGAGCCAGAGTGGGGATGGCTCAGCCTGGATG